GAGCGAAATTCAGTTGCGTTCAGCTTTCTCATCTCGTGTAGGTTCAGGCGAGAGTTTAAGCTCATCCGCCATCAGATTTCGCTATGTCTGAGTATCGCAGCCATTATAGCAGTAATTAGGCTGGGAGGTACTAATCTGCGTGGTTAGTGTTACTGGAAGCCTATTAGGGACGAATTATCCTTTCAAACGCGTCTACGATTTTGGGCGGAGGTCGGATGTATGGCGCATCAAAAAAGGATTGTTTATCAGAATTTTCTTTTTTCTCCTTTCCCGTTATCTCTTCTCGTAGTTCTCTCGTTTTCTTTCGAAATGTTATATGACGTTGAAGCGTTCGTTAAGCTGGGATTTCGAAATCCAATTAATTCTACTATTGCTATTCGAGCTCGTTAACATTCTCACGCAAGGTATTGATGCGTCGTTGTAGCGTTGATGTGGCTGTCATTTCCTCACGCGGAAACCTCCGGCTTTCTACCTATTACTCTACGTCACTTCTCTTCTATTCTCTCCTAATCAAGGCGCCTGCACACAGCACAATATGCATCAATACTCCAAATGGCAGGAACCACGACGTCTCCTTGCCAGAGAATCGATGGAACCTAAGCGTAAACAGGTGGAATTCGGAGAGCAATCATGGCTTTCCAGCTGGCTGGTATTAAGAGTCAAAATTTGAAGGTTTCGGTAACAAGTTGTAACTTTTTCTCATGTTTCGATAGATGTGGCGTAGAACGGGAGACGATCGCCAGTCATGCATAGTATTCGAATCAAAATCGGGTTTCTTTGCTGGGCGCTGTCCATTCAATATGCTGAATCGTACATGATCGGTTTTATTCAACGCTAGACGAACGTTACTATTTCTATTCTCAGGCTTGATTTATATGTATGTTGGAGTCTTTTGATGGGTCACAGTGTCCTTCAAATTTTTGGAAGAGCATACATGGCAATTTCCTTAACGGTATGACATCATTGCTGCCGCTCTAGTTGTGCGGTCAGATACAAGAGTTCATAAGGGGGGTAAGGCTCTATGAAGAGCTTTTACGTTGTAGTTTTTGACTGCTTTGTAATGACTTCTACAAATAACCACTAACTACCACGTTGCCATAGGGATCTTATTTCCCGTATTCACGATGTGTGGGAGGGTGTACCCCTAGGTTTTTCCTTATATCTCCGTCGATGCTCTTTCGCCCTTTTCTGACAGGGACATTACGTGAGAGAATCGATAGTTCCGTATTTCCACTAAACGTTTTACGATCGGTTATACGGCGAGAGATTTCCATTTCGGAAAGTAATTAAGGGAACTCGATGGAGTTTGCGTCCAACGCTTTTCACTGCGGAATGTTGGAATCTGCCTTGAGTGGCTTACCTTCTGTCTTTGAGCTTTCTGCAGCTAGGCTAACCATAAACTACGTATGTACTGGGACGTTCCGTTGCTTGGTTCCCTCGCTTTTTATTACTTTCGTGAATCAATTGTGAATAGGAGTGGAACTAATCCTCCGCAGAAGTCTCGTTGCAAAGCGTTCTCTGTATCCTCGGCCTCGATATCCAATGAAACTGTTATGTTTAATATGAAAACATCTTGAATCAAACTAATCCGTCTTTATTATCTCGATGAAGATATTGCCCAAAATTCAGGTATCTGTGCTGTCAAATTGTGGCAAAACAGTTTAATTCAGACATAAGTTTTGAGTTTATTATAGATGTGGTTTTTTCAATGTGAACTCAGCAAAATTGTTCTTTGGCCACGCACGATCTATCATTCGAGGTTGTTTCGGAAATTTCAAAATATCTAGGCCTCATTGTAATAATACACTCACGCTTTGATGGGAGTGTTGAATTTTCCTCGAAGTTACGTTGTTCACTTGTCTTTCAGCTTTGTTTAGTATCGGACGATTTCAATTTCCTGTTCTCTTCTGCTTTCAACTTTCACTCACTTTAATAGCTTGGCTTCGTTCAAAGCTGTATTTTAATCGCTGATCTTTCTTGAAATTTCGGAGTGATTATGATTCTACTTTAAATTTTATATCATCCAATTTTTATTTAAATTCTTTGAAAATGCGCTCTCGCAGTCCTATTAGCCACTCCTACTTTTCCTTAACTTAGTGGACTCCGTTCACAGGGAATATTAGCAAATTGATTTCGCATCACCTATATCACCTGTCGTCCCGTTGATCATCGAATTTCTCGTGCGGGTACCGCTGTCTTTAGACGCCCTTGTAGCGAGCCGCTTTGCTCCATTGTGATTGGCATGTCATTAGTGATTATCCTTCTGTGTGACTTTATGATTTAACCTTGTTCTAAGTTGTTGTTAATGAGATTGCGCGTTGCTATCGCTTGGCATGTGATCCACTTGAACTCGTTTGAATTTGTTGGGCATGAGCCATGGCATTCGGTTGCCTATCCAGGATCCAAGAAGGATGCTATTGTTTTCGGATACGGGTAAATTCTTGCAGGATCTGGTTTTCTTGTCTTAGGCCGTATCGCATAGCTGATACGAATCAGGTGGCA